TCCTTTCTATTAAAGAGAAGAGAAGAGAAAAAGCAGCTGAAGAGTTTTTGTTTTCTATACATTTCGTATACTATCCATATCGGCATACGTTAGGTTGCTTACTCGCTTCAGTTGATTTTCAAGGAAAGATATTGAAATTTTGGCCTTGAAATATTTTAAACTGAGCGCAGCAAGCAAATACCGCAAAGATATCATTGTCTTATGACAGCCGAGGCAGAGCTAATCTCCGACTCGAGAAAAACTATTGTAGGGAAAAATTGTCCCAGAATGGTAAAAGTTGACACTTATGTTGACAGATAAATTCGATCAGGGATGCACTCATGAGCACACCTACAAAAAATTATTCAGTCTGTAGGCAATGCGCCATAACAATTGCAAAGTATTGCGTTACAAAAATTATCCCGTTCAGTCAGCTTGACTTGACTGATTTAATTCGTCTTGATCTATGTACATACCATAAGCCCTACGTCGTCCAAACTGATGGTTCTCTTTGAGAAGACAGAGTATGGCGTTTAAAGCTGAAAAGCGGAAAAAATGTAAATTTTCTCTTTATATACTATGTCCGGCAGTATAATTGTTTCTTGGATACCTCCAGTCGAAAGTGGCAATGATTCCTCTTGATTACAGTTAGTTGTCTATATATATTTGTGTTGTAATGTTGAGAAAACGTCTGTTAAAAGTTTCGTCTTGAAGACGAAATCTTTTAAAAGAAGTACAGACGAGAAAAAGTTATTTTTGAATGCAAGAAATATCTTCTCCTTCGAGTTAGCTAATCAAGAAGAGATGACTTATTACGTTGAGTAAAAAAATTTCACTGTGAACACGAAGTTCGTTGTTTGAACCTTCATAAAGTTGGTGGATAGTTAGCTAACCGTCAATTTACACGTCACTGTAATTATTTTGCGGGAACTTCTTCTTCTTCTTCTTCTTCTTCTTCGAACATATTCTAGCAAAATCAGTTGAAAATCATCAAATGAAAATATCGCACATAAAGCCAACTCGTAAGGTAATCGAAGCCATGAATTTATTAAATGGAAGTTAGGCTCAAATAAATTTTTATGAATTATTAACAAAACTTCGCGTAGAATTAAAGGACGAACGATGCACGTCTAAAGCATCGAATCGGAGATCCCTAAAATTATAGGTAGGTCGTTGGGAAAAATTCCTTTTTCCTTAAAAAAATTCTCATTGCATTTGAAATTTTATTAAAAAAAAAAAAAACTTGCATTTGAGTGTTACATCAAGCGCGGCATATTTGTCCCCCGGGGGGTATCAGAAGATTCGGTTCAAATTGAATATAATCTCTTTCTAGCTTTTAATTACATGTTTTTCTCATTTTCTTTTACTTTGTTAATTTACACGCTTGAGCGTTTAATAACAATTTGTCCTCGTATTGTTAGATAAGAGAACTTCAGTGATGACGATGATGATGATGATGATGATGATGATGTTCTTGTTGCCGAATGACATCAGAGAAATGATGCTGATTAATGGTAAGTTATCGTTTGAACTTTGATTTTTTCTTCATCTGAACGCTGTCGGTGAAAGTGATGGCAACCATATCATCTTTATTTTTATTATTATAATTATTATAATTATTATAATTGTTATCATTTTTAGTGATATTTATTTTCTCTCCGTAGTTACAGAAGAGTTGTTATATATTCTTTAGCATTATGTTTTATGTTTCTGCTTGTTGTTGTTGTCATTATTATTATTATTATTATTATTATTATTATTAAAGTTATTGTCATCAATTTCATTGAGCTACCGCTGCTTTAGCTCTTGTTTTTTCCCCTTATTATTAACGTTGTTGTTGTTGTTGTTGTTGTTGTTGTTGTTGCTGTTTACATTTACTAACTTCTGTTTGCCATGTAGACGTTTCCATCAGTTGGTTGGTTGATGTTATAGCCTTTGTTGCCAGAACGTCAATGCCTTTGCCAATGTTGCTGCTGTTAAGGCAGCACATTGTGTGTGTTCGTTGCTGTTGCTCTTGTTATTATGGCTTTTGTTATTGTTTTTGTTGTTATTGTTGTCCGTTAGCGAGCAGTGACGTTTGCATTTCCGTTTCCGTGACAGCAACCATTATGCTATTATTACCATTTAATCGAGTTTCTAACATATAATCAACACATTCAGAATTTGATGCCAAAAGCAAAGCGGCATGTATGTCCACTACCATCTCGCCTCTCTCTCTCTCTCTCTCTCTCTCTCTCTCTCTCTTCCCTCTCATAACTTCATTTTCTAAAGAATTTTTCTTCTTTTTTTTTTCTTGCATTATCGATTCTAAAGTATAACAAAAAAAAAAAAAAAAAAAAAAAAAAAAAACCTCTGTGCATATACATACACATACCCAAAAAAGAAAATGAAAGAAAACAAGGACTCCCGGCATCAAACAAAAATGCAAAGTTGCGTAACGTAAGTGTTTGAAATTTCATTAAGTTGCGATAGTGAGTATAATGGTAGGAAAAATGCATAAAAAATTAAACCAAAAGCAAAAGAAACGAACTATAAAGGAAAACATAAAAAGCACATCAAGATTTTTTCACAGAAAAAAAAAAAAAAAATTAAATGAAACGATATAGAAACGACAAAAAAACAAGCGATTATAAGTTTATGAACTTGAGGCGTCATTAAGTCGTTAAAGTGTATGCGAGCATAATATCAAGCACCACGTCGTATCATCAGAGGAAAAAAAAAACAAAACAAAAAAAAAACAAAAAAATAAAAATGAAAATAAAAAAACTGGAAAGCAATAAAGAAATATGATTGAAAAATGCTTTCGTATTAAATCTTCACGAGCGTATTCGAAGAAAAATACCGTAGGCGTTGCGTTGCCTTTTTCTACCCACCGTGCATTGCACTGTATATGCCTTTACGTTCGCAACACTTTCGGGGTGAGGATGCGTATCATCAGAGATACACACAATAAAATACACACAAATTCCTGTCCGTTGGCGGTTGCAAATTTCAATCTCGTCTAAGGACTGAAATAGAAAGCGTACACTTGGTGTATGCGATGACAGCGATTTGCAGTCAAGCACTCTCAGTAATTGTAAGATATGTTGATCTAAAATGACATGTGTGGATCAATTGCTAACCAATATATATATATATATATATACATATATATATATAAAGTTTGATTAAAATCGTGTTGAGGTGATAAGTAGGTTATTAACAATTCGTTGTCATTAGATGGCTAAGACGTTTTTTTAATGCTTTTGTTTCGTTTTTGTCTTAGTTAAGTTTTTTGATTGGTTTATATATCCCATCGCAGCTTTCTTTCCACATCGCTCTGTTTGCTCTCTGTTTGCTGTGTAATCGTTTTCTACAACTTTAGCATCACTGTCATCGCCACCAAAGTCAACTTGCAACACAATTACTGAATGACTGACTGATCTTAGAGGTTTCTCAAGGGCCAACGCTAACTGTGTCTGCGAGTTACGTAAGTTTAATACACACATAAATTATGCGCCATTTTAATATAATATAATGTGTTCTCTGTGTAAATCTCTATTCAGCCTATAATGGAAAATTGCACACAACAACATTTGTTACTTGTGTGGATAGTGAAAGGAAAAGTTCTGAGATATTCTGAGTTTGAAATATCCTTGAAAATGTTCATTCATTCTTCCATCTAATTTTCATATAATTCATGGACATTGACAGAGAGATGTGCCGGTCATTTATTTCATAGAATTTCCACGAACAACAACAACAACAACAACAAATATTGTTCGCTAATTTTGTTAATGCATTTCTCTTCTCTTTCTATTTCTTTCTCTCTAATCGCAGCAGTAGTCCTTTGACTGTCCACTGAAATATTAGCACAGTTTGTAATTTATTTTAATTAAAATATATATGTATATGTTTCGGAATGTTTATAAAACTTAAATTATAAAAAAAAAAAAAAAAACAAAAAACAAAAAACAAAAAACTAGAAACAAATATAGACTGCGCTATGTGTTTTCATTAAAGTCGTTTTAATTAATCTTAGATTGAAAATGGAGTGGTTTTCATGCGAAATCTGTTTCTAGTTGAAGTGTTTATTTATTCGTTATTAATTGATATTGAATGCTGGTATGCGAATGGTGGTATGCGAAGTTAGTGGCGAGAAAAACCAACTGTTTGGATATGCTGCAATGATTTGATATCCATCTCTGTCCGATATGCTTTCATTCATATCTGTCTTTACCATCCTTTATTGATACCTGTTGCAAATTGTTATGCTGATTATTGATAGCAATATTTTAAAATTTTATTCACTTTTTATTGACAATTTTAATGCTAAATTTTTTCATAATATACCCCTCAAACCCCTGAATAATGGGGGTATACTCATTTTGTTTGTTTTTTTTTTTTTTTTTTCATACTATATATAACGATGAAAAGGACGCTACCGAGACCCTATAAAGCCCATATATATTCTTGATCAGCGCGAAATTCTGAATGCATGTGTGTTCGTCTGTGTGTATGTGCGAATGCAGATATCGACTTACAATTTGGCAGAGACATTTGAAGTTTTTGCAAGCACGTAGGCATTAAACATAAGCCAAATTGGTCACAGGAGCAGCTTGCAGTAGAGCGTAAACTGAACGCAAATTTTTTTTTTTTTTTTAACAAACACTTAGATTTTTACTCATTACCCACAAATAATTATAGAAAATAGAAAGCTGAAATTTTCCACAATTACTTTATGAAACACTCAAAAGCTTAACGTGTAAAAATAGAAAAAGTCGGCCATGCCCATACAAAGTTACAAGTGATTACATTTTATTTTTTTTCACTTTTTCAAGGTTATATGCTGAGTTATCATAAGGCAAGCAAGACATTATGTCTAAAACTATTTTCTACATTGCTCAAACAATGTATACGGCCTGCCTTAAAGTGGGTTAATTCTAAAACGAATATGGTAGACGCCGCGGCATGACGGATTAATTTTTTCTTAATAATACCACCGGTATTGGTATCAAATATACGAACTGGGAGAGTAGGATGCGAAAGACATAGTAATGGGTGTGCGGGATTTGGCTCCCGCCGAATATAAATCGTAGATATTCCTTTAATTTACCCTGAATCCCAAAATTATAATCAAATCTTTAGCGGCGAAAGGAAAGGGACTTTGACAAGAAATACAAGTGAAAGCCAGGTCTTCACTTCTCCTGAAGGGATACGAATTTGTAAAAAAATAATATAAATCCATTGGAATCCCTCTTAAGCTTAATCCGTGAGTTATTGATTATTATTCTTTAGGCGAAACCATCTCCTTTAACTTTTTCTGTGAGATTGATATTGATGCCAAATGCTCTGCTAAAAGCTTTTTCGACATTTCTCCAATTCGCTTTGAAACGCACGATCAAGTCTCTTCAGCTGATGGTATAAAGGCTCTTTGGAGGGCAGTCCCCCGCAGGAAAAGAAATCTTCACTCCTCTCGAATAGACTGGCGTAAACGACTAAATTCTCTTCAAAAAGTTCCTTTGGACACTGCTTTAAAATGCGGTGAAAAAATTTTTGCAGAAAATTTTTTTTTAAATACTTAGCTCATCATAAAGTAAATTAAAGATCATACATATATCTTGTGTAATTAATTGTTTTTTTTTTTTTTTCAAATACTTGTTTAAATGTTTGATTATTAATATGAGAATAAATAAAACTATGTGCGAAGAATTATTTGAAGTGAAAATAAAAGAAGAATTAACTAAAAGTTGTCTCGCGTCTTTTATCTTCATTCAAAAATTGCAAAATCTTTACAAGAAATGCTACTGAGCTACTCTTAACACATACCTTTAAAACTTTCGCTACAACAGTCACAAGGACAACGAGGATAATGTTGATGGTGACTATAATTTTGATAATTATTGGGTGATATAACTGGCAGCGATATTAAGCACCCAGAAGGAGAAGATGACGATGGCGATGGCGATGACGATGACGATGACGATGACGACGAGCAGTAGCATAATGAAGCAACAGCAACAGGTGGACACTTATTATCCAAAGGCAACGGCAAAGATGAAAACGATGATGCAAGTGACGAAAATAATGATGATGAAGATGATGTTGATGACAGAAATGGCAATGGCGACGGGAATAAGATAGGAGCAGAAGATGAACATAAATTTTGCTTTAAAAACTTGTATGACTTTGGACGTTTATTACAATCATCAGAACAGTAAGGAAGGCTTGATGCATTGCCGGAGCTGTCATCGCCAAGTGTAAATTCATTATTTTCATTGTCGCTGCTATTTTTTGTGGAATGTGCGGCTTTTATATCATTCGGTATAGTTTCGTTCCAATATGTTTTATTGTCTTCATATATATGGTAACGTGGTCTACGGCAGCCAACGTATAACAACGGTGATGAATTACAAATAGAATCCGCTTGCCAAAAGGCATACGGAGTGCTTAAATCATGGTTTATATTAAATTTATTGTTTGCTTTAGATTTATCGCATTGCTCAACATTATTGGATTGTTGTCGGTCGTAATTTAACTTGTGATTTGTTGTTGTTCTTGTTGTTGTTATCGTTGTTGTTGTTGTTGTTGTTGTTGTTGTTGTTGTAAAACTATGCAATTGATTTGTGTTTAATGGTACTAACGATATCAGGTCCTTTGATTGTTTACTGGTGCCGTTGCTTTGTCTTCTAGACATTGCACTTGTTGTTGTTGGTGTTGTTGTTGTTGCTATTGGCATAGTTTCCATTGATGATAATGTCGTGTTCGCATTGTCACCCATTGAAAAGCTATCTATGGAATATTCTTCACTATTTTGCATCGACTCTATTAGAAATTTATCTTTGATTGTCGGATGGCATCTTAAAGTGTTACTCTCCTCAGTTAATGTATTGTCACATTTAACGGATTTATGTTTCGTACGATGTAATGATAGAGTCCCTTGAATGGTTTGTCGTTGATGTATGTGACGACCAAACAGTTTTTCACGCATTTTATTTTCGCTACGTAAAAAATTAAAGGCGCTACTAATGGTTGTAAATATTTGCTCAGCTATTAATGCTGGTCTCGGCGTGTAAAAGCCACGACAAATGGGACAATTTTTGGCGCGTATACGACAAGCGAGACACACCAAATGACCATTTTGACATTGCATAGCTGGCGGAGTTATAGTATCACGGCATACGGGACATTCAATTATATTGAGAATCTCTTGTACAATTAAAGCCAATCTTTGCATGCTGCGTGGCATGGGAGCAGCGCATAAGCTCTGCGTAAATTGATTAAGAAATTATTATGAAAATTGACAGTAAAAAAGAGCATTAAAAAAAAAAAAAAAAGACTTCAATTTGTCGTTTTCGCTTCTGCATAAATTCATAATGAACTTTATATGTCACTTACTTCGGCGTCATCATCCGTGCATTTATTGCAATTATTACTCCATAGCAATAACGTTATATAATGTTCGTCTGTGGTTTTTGCCAATTTTGCAATTTTCGCGATACGTAAACCCAATACATCGAACCCATTAACCTGTCGCCAACGAAACAGAAACACAAATGCAAAACATGATCAATTATATAAAAATGAAGACAACGGTCTGGCAATATATCGTAAGATTCTTGTCAACAATTCATGCACAAAAAAGTTAAGTGAAAAATACAGATAAATATGTTTGTCAGAATTTATTTAACTCGAGATTTTATCCACTATATCGCTTTGGTATAACTTGGCAAAATTTAAAATAAGTATTTAATTTACTTAACTATTGTTACGCACGGTGAAGAGGTGAAAGAGGAAAGGAAATAAGTTGAATAGTACGTACGTTCCATGACGAAACGAACACTACCCCATGTAGTCCAACTATGATAAGCATTGCTTAGTATACAAGGTCTGTTGGTATATTAACTTTTTTTATGAGATAGAACAGTGAGTGAGAAGACAGTTATCTGTGGCCGATAAATTAAATAATGTGCTCTCGGTGCCAACTTTTCGCTTATCCAGTCAAACAAGGTGAAGATGAATAACATGACTGACTATAGGTCATGTTCTTGAATGGGCTTGTTGGCCGAAGTTTCAAGACTACAAGTTAACGTAATCAAGGGATCATAGTCACTGGGTTCGCCTGTTTCCCAGAGCGAGCTAAGGGCCAGTTTTCTTCAATTCAGAATTATTTTCTTTGTCTATCGGATCATCTAGCGATGGTCGATTGACGTCCGTCACTGCAGTCCACAACCACTAGCATTTCTTTATTAATTCGTTGATGGATTATTGTCACTAACATTCACTTGGATCGGTTTCTGGTATACGTAGTAGATATTTAAAAATGTAACACAGAGGTGAAGTTTCAATAGTCCTTCAGGTAATGAAGGGGCGACTGGATTTAAGATTGAACGGAGCCGGTTATTGATACATAAATTTTTATGCCACGTTCGTTCAGCTTTCAATATAAGTTTTTTTTTTTCCTTTTTTTTTCTTTTTAGTTCCAATGACAATTAACACTTGAAGAGACAAGCTGGAGAACGGACAATGAATTTGTACCATATGCTCGGCTTTCGATCTCAGTTTTTCTTAACATTTAATAAGTTCCGATGGTAACTCATACAGGGAAGGACGGGCAGATGGACTGTCTCAATCTCTTGTATGGAGTATTTGCGCCATAAACAGTTTAAAAGTTCCGTTGCTAAGTAACGTGGGAAGTTATGGGCGGATAATCGTGCTCGATTCCTGATAGAGAATGTTTGCGGTGATTGCGCAATGACAATTTCTGCGAGTTAAATTATGGACAGAAGGACAATATTGCTTATTGTGGCGTATATTTGACGGTTAGGTAGGTAACACCGAAATAAAGTTACTCTAAATTGTCAAGTCTTTGGGAGATATTCTTGAAATTTGACAATAATCTAAAATACATAGAACAAATACTATGATGTACGAGCATAATGTATGCGTCGGGATATGATAAATTTAAATAAGTCACATAATAAGGCAAATGTAAAAACTTTTCTGTTTTCACCACGCATTAGAATGAGACTTAAGGAGAAATAAAGTTTCGATGAAAAACAGAAGAATGGATGGACGGAAGCGTTGAATATTTTCAATAATTTTGATAGTAAATAATGTGACATCGATTAATATTCATAAGCGTAATGTGTAGTAAATGTATGCGTTTGTTTGTGTGGGTGGAATTTTAACCGCACCCACGCATTTTAGCTTAAAGGCGTATATTTATTTTAATTATGTGTGATATGTGTATTCCATCATCATTTTAATTAAACGTTATTTGTGCCGTTTTATATGTTTAAACAAAATTCGCTAAATTTGATTGATTTGTTCGATTGCGTTTAACAGGCAGACAAACACACGCAAACACAGTCAAACATGAACATATATATATATGTTATATGTAGTCAAAGTAATGTTTTATGTGCCAGATAGGATAGATAGATAGATAGATAGATAGATAGATAGCTTTTGGCTTTTCAATTCCTGCTCTTTCCCGTTCGTACATATACATACATATACATGATACGATACAATATTTATCGTATATTTACGCGGCGTCGTATGTGGGTGTAAACTGAAAATGCTCATGAATAGTACGCTCATTAGTTTTAACACTAAAACGCATCATTGCATAATTATAATGATGGCATCAGTTTACATCACTGGCAATGCATTGACTAGAAATTGTTTTGTAACATATTTTCCACATAACTAATTTTTGCAATTTAGATCGTTCCTAATATGCAGATACAGATACATGCATATATATATATGCTTACATATATTGAACAGACGGAAGTATTTTATGCGCATATTTTATGCTAAATAAAAATTACATTTCTCTCTCTGATATCTGAATCATAATGAAAGGATATTCAGTTTCGATTTTTCATTTCGCGGTATTTTTCAATTACAATTTTTTTTCTAATTTCATTACAAACATTATGAAATGAAATATTTGCTATCTGTCAATTTATGTGTATTGGCTGAAAATGTGAAAAGAAATGCATGCTTATAAGCTTACATCAAAAATAAGTTTATAATAATGAGCTAAATAAATGATAACAAGTGAAGATGAATTATTGATATATGCTTATCGTCTTTAAGGATAACTGTTTATATCGGGATTTAACGAAGGATGAAAAACAAGCAAGAATCAAGAAAATAATTCAAGATTAATAACTGGGGTCTTAAGTGAAACCCATGAAACTTCCTTCCCAAGCTTCTTCAACTATTTCACTCGGTTTGATTTACATTAAATTTGTTTCGGTTGTTTACATCAGCCACATGGCTATTTCTGCTTGTAATGTGAACTGTGCTCCTAGTTAGTGATTGGGTAAATAATCACGAAATTTTCATTTCTTTTAGGCTTTTTTGCAATTTTTCAGCAATTACAGGCTTATTGGGCCATTGAATCACTCACCCTTTTGAAATTAATCGTTGGATTGAAGTGGAGAGAGCGGCAATGCCAGCATCAAGAGAAAAGCATCGTAGTTGCGTGGAGGCAATAGTACATGAGTTCTCGATAACATTTATGTTTAAAGAATAAAATTAGTTTTGTAAAAAGTTAACTTTTCTGGCTGCTACGAGGCGGTTTTAATCGAATTTTTTCGTTTCAATGGCCAATTGCCTGGGGAATGTAGGCTGCATAAAAACGATAGTGGCCTGGGAGAAAGAAATCGGTAACGGGCAACTGCCTGCGGTTCTAGTCGGAAAAGTATCTCGCCAGTAGGTAAGACTGTTGGAGTTATCTCTTTATTGATCGAGAGTTGACTACAGTCTTGAATTGCTTCAGAAAATCGTGAAAACGGGGAATTTCGGAAGTAGACGGCCTCGTAACAGTTAGCTCAGCGAAGTTGGCTCAGAAAGGACAAAATTTTTTGAAATAGAAAAAAGCAAGTTTGTGTATGAAGTGAAGGAGACTAAATACTATTGCAGAGAGAAATTGCGATTGTTTGAAGGTGAGGTGAAGAAGGTTGGCGCATCCATCCATAACTGGATATACAAGAAGACTTAGGGAAAGCTTGTACATAGAGAGTGAAAAAGACCGCCGAGAGGGCAAGCGCTTAACGTCAGTTAACCTGTATGGGGAGAGAAAAAGACCGAATAGGGTAGTGGTAGGTAGGGGGGCAGTGCAATATATTAGCTTTTGATGGCGAGTTTTTTGCTCAGAAAGATGAAAGAAACTATCGAAGTGTAAATAAATAATATTTCGAATCATTACTTGTTTCCATTGTGCTATTAGTTTACGAATTTTCTGAATGAGAAGACATTAAACACAAGCGTCACCAACATGATTGGTAATCTTCTGTCTTTAGAAAACATGTACATATTTAGTGCTTTATTACCAAGAAAAACTTGATTGATTCTATTGAGTTATGGTAAATAGCTTGACTTCTTCGAATTTCTACATTTCAAATTTGCAGTTAACACATATAAAGAACATGCTGCGGCAATAGCAAAAAAAAAAAAAAAAAAAAGTAAAAATAAATGTTGGAAGCAAGTTTCAACTGATATCGCATATAAATGCAAACATACACACGAATACTAATTACATATTGCACATATTTACTTATTCATTTTGCAATGACTGACCTCTAAAACACAATCGCCTGCCTTCAGACCACATTGTTTAGCTGGCGCAAAATCGTCAACACCACTAACCTATAAAACGTGTAAATAAATTGCTTAATAAGATACAGACATATAAACTGCAAATAAATTGTTATTGCGATTATCAATAAACTTAACCCATGGATAAGGATCCCATTTGGTACGTGTTAAATGAAAGCCGCAAGAACCGTTGGGGGTTTTTGGAATTTTCAATAAACGAACAAAAGATTCCGAATGATCCTCGGCATCTGTTAAATCATCATCTTTAGGTTTTTCCCATTTTTCGTTTGCACTTGTTGCAGACATAGCGAAAGGTGTGCCTTTACAACTTTGCTGAGCATAGTTTACTTCATCATCCAAATCTTTGTCCGATTTAAGTTTAATTGACAATAATTTCACGTCTTCTTTAACTAGCATTGATTCAATTGTTCATTGTTGCGTTATAAACCACGAATTAATTGTATTTCGTTTCGAAATTATTTTCTGTTTTTTTTTTGATTTTCTTATAATTTGCTTAATGAGAAGTACCGTTGCAAACGTGTAACAGATTCGCGCTTATTTCTCATACTGTTTAGACAATTTTCTGTATTCAGTTTATTCTCAGATGCATATATGCTGCGATTTTGATAACTCGCTGGCAGCATGTAATGAAAAATGAAATAAACGTTTTTTACTCACCTTCGGTTAGTAAGTGAGTACAACCTACCGGATGGTCATATATTAAAACAAAACGACGATAAGCGGAGAGCACAAGCAAGAGCAACTACGAAGTAATAATTTTTGTAGTTTTAGTCAGTCTTCACAAATGCCCAATAGATTAGTTGAACTTATTTATTTTGTTGTGTGACGACGTAAGTTAGATTGTGATTTTTAAGTATTAACTGTGCTTATACGAGAATATCTGTCTCCTCTTCTATCTGGGGGAATTTGCTTGCTAAAAGCAGGACTAATAGATGAAGTTGTTTTTTTTTTTTTTTTTTGTAAAATACAATGCGATTTTAAATTCTCTAGTTTGGGTTACTTTCTCAACATAGGCGTCAAGGCTTAGAGTTCTTATCTCAGATGTTAATCTGCCACCGCTTCGCGACGGCCTTTCTCTAATGTCTCTTACTCTTTACGTACTTTCTTTAATAGCCATACTAAGGATATTTGTTTCCGTCTAGTTCCACGAATCTAAAATTGGAGCTGTTGCGTAATATCTCCTTTTCATTAATTAAATCTTAGCTGCTTTCTCCCTCTAGTCGTCGTTCTAAGTAAATTGTTATTATGCTCTACACCACTTGCGCTAAAACAGTGCATTAAGTTTGTGCGAATATATGCAATACCCAAAAGGATGTGGGTTAGACCTTGTATGTTAGTCTATTCGTCCTGCATTTTTGCGTTCAAACAGTTTTAGAGATTTTTTGATAAATTGTGGTATACTGACGTGTCTTGCTCTAAAGACGGATGTTATTGAAAATGGTTCGGATCTAACTACTTTTGCGAGTATTTCCATTACGACGTCTTATAAAAATATGTCAAAGTATCAAAAGTCGTTACATGAGTAATTGCAAGGTGTTATAGGGTATTTAACAGTGAGCCGTTCTAGTGTTCTATTATTGGAGAGTATTTGCCAAAAATACCGTATTAGTCGTGGAAATCCTCTCTTATGAAGATGGGAAACTATTTATTTATTATTTCCCTGCTTGTTAATATATTTTCTATGTCATATAAAAGATTTGTCGTCATCAAGAGAATTAACTTTTCAGCTTAATGATAATATCCCTCTAAAATGGTTCGAAGTTGTGGATTCTTCGCTTTATATTCCTTTGACGTGTTCGTATGATAAATTTTGATGAATAACGATAAGAGGGTTAGAGCAACTGCCGAGTTATTACTAGTTTTCATTATTATCGCATGCTTCAGATAAGCCCTTGTAATCTTAGTTTATTCAGTTTAAACAGCTTTGTAATGCGCAGAGGATAACATGTAGCATCGACATGTTAATCGATAAACAATATATGCATTAAATTATAATTAAGCAAAAGATTTAACAGTCATTAATGTCAAAAATAATAAAAGTAATTTATGGCTTACATTATAATTAACGCAAATAGGTGAAGACCTTCACTCATTTAATATGTTTAACTTTTATATTCTCATTAACGCATTTCTTATTGTGAACGTGTTAATGTTCACAAACGGAATGTTTTTTAGGTGTTTCCCCTTTCATTACCTTGAACACGGAATGTGTTGATAAATCTACTGAAACCCTAAACACCTTAACCCCGTTTCAAGCCATAAACTATCTAACCATTTAATCATCGAACTACTCAAGCTCTCAAATCATAAACTACGCAACACTTCAAGCTCTCAATTTCGCAAACCATGGATCTCAAGCGTTAAGCGTCCCAAATCTTAAAACTCCTTGAACTCTTAACCCTTTGTAAACCCTTCCTCAACCTCTTAACCACTTAACACCTCATCTTTTCACTCTCTATTCGCGTCCCCTTGTTCCAGCTTTTCCCGCTGCCCCTTCCCGTCCTCTCCATCGTTATTGCCCTAAACCATTAACGGCCCTGAATTCTTCCTCAACCCTTTAACCACTTACTTCAAACTTTAAATTCGTGATTCCGTTTCCTCTTTTCTAGTTTCCTTTCTTTCACCATCTTCCCCTTTTCATCATCTCAATGTCAATGAATATAAAAACTTTTGCCCTTGGAATGGAAGATATATTCGTACGCAAGTGTAGCAAAAAACGAAGTCAAAAATTATCTTTCGCTACAAAATAATTAATTAACATCGACGAGTCCTTGACAATTTTTAACCCTTTACGCTTCATCTTAAACCACTTAGCAAATTTTTCCTTTTTGTTTTTTGAATTTGAAAAAACTTTTTTTGTTTTTGTTAAATGTTAAGCAAACTATATAACTGTTCAAATTGCTATGTAAAAGCAAAAGCGATAAAAAAGCAACAAAGAAAAAAAAAAAAAAAAAAAGAAAAAGAGATTATAGTGCTATTGACTTTCGTTTTCATATAGATTTCAAAATAAACAAAGTCAATAGAGGGCGTCATTGTCACGCATGAATAATTAGATTAATGTTTGGCTAAGTCATGTATTTGCCTATCTAAATAAATATGTGCACATATGTTCGCTGAATAGACAAATATTAGTAGAATCGTAATTGGCAAATGAACAGCACGTTAAAAAATTGCCAATATTATGCTCTATGAATAGACCTTTCGCGCTGCGCTTGTTGTTGATGCGAACCGTATTCAATAAAAATAAATAATAGAAAAAAAACATTGGTTTTTCTGAATTTTTTTTGTTTTCAATTTTTTATCTAACTTCGCAAAAATAGCATGGCATGATATGGCCATGGTATGGTTTTATGCAAAAAATTCAATCCATAAAAGAACAAAAAAAAAATAATAAAAATAAAGAAATTATATAATGATTTTACATAAAGCGTCACAATGGGCGAAAAACCGAATGTTTTTTGCTTGACGTTTTTAGACGATTGTGTCAAGTGCTTTCTCTTATAGTTTAAGTCCATACAGGGTAGAATTTTTTTCAGGACCATTGTAACTTCTGCTGATTTCTTTCAAAACCATCAGGAAGATGAGACTTGCAACTAGGGGTATTGGGTCCACGATCGGGATAGTTTTTACTACAGACTTTTTATCGGCCTTGGAAATCTTGTACGAATTTTAAGATCCTTGGTAGAAACATATTGAAGTATTTCTTATTCTCGCGTTTATCATTTTTTTTTTTTTTTTGTGTTTTTTTACAACTTTGTCGATGAGGGAGAAGCATGTGGAAGGGGGGTGTGGAGGGAGTAATCTCGAGTCAAATTTGAAAATTAACCGCGTATTCTATTGGTTTAGTTTTAATTTTATAAATCGGTTTTTGATTGAAGCTTGAAGTACGTAACAATGGGTGGCAGACAGTTCGACAAGCAAGCGAACTCTGCTCAAATGATTGCATCCTCACGCTTGTTGCATGCTATGTGCAGCTGTTTTTAAAGACGTAGAAGCCGTAAGGCAAAATTAAGCCACCACGCCAAGGCTTGGACATTAGATAGTCTTGTAAAAAGAGAGTGTCGTGCTTGTCGCTCAGAGTCTATGCAAGTGAAACTACAAACTTGAAAAAGTGTAATAAGAGAAAGAAAAAGAATAAATTTCGTTCAATTTTGGAGTCGGAATGGCACAACTAAACGCATAACTTAATTATTTCTTTTCTTTAACGTGATAGCTAGCTGGAGAAGCTCGACTATAAATGATTTAGATCAGATACGACATTTCAATACGCACTGGCAGGTTGAAACTATTCTTAAATGTATTTAAAAATCTTTTAAAAAAAAAACAAATGTGGAATCGCCTTTACACATAAAGTACTGTATTTGCTTAATACGTACAAAGATGCCCATATTGATGAGATATTTTCGCAATGATCGCAATATTTTCTTTTATGATCGTGTATTTGACAAAGCTTTTTATGATTACAGCTTCTCTTTATTAGAAACTATTTGAAGTTTGTTTCAAAGCACTTTTGTTATTTTATATAAAATATCCGATGGAGTACCAGACAACATTCAACTATACGCGGTCACACATATACCAATTTTGTATTAAACCTTTATTCTCTGTTTTGTCTGTTTTGTCTGTATAGTGCATCTGCTTTTATCATGGATGTTAGTATTGCTTAGTTCGTAAGAGCTGATGAAATGAGAACAATGTACATAAACCAATAACACAAGAAATAAAAACAATCAACGCCGTTATTAATTTTAAAATGCTACTAACACACCACAAAAGATTGTATGAACTGTGAACTAAGAAATGTCAAAAGCTTTGCGGCTTAGCGGAAATCCAATTATGACAATTAAATAACATTTTCTGGGAACCAAACTAAAATTAAAAAGTTGTGGTTAGCTATTAAAGGTTATGGTTTTGCGTAACACTGAATATGCATGAAAAGCGTTTTTGGCTTATAATGAGTTTGAAACACTCATCCATTGTCTGTGTTGGAAGCATTCAGAGCCAGCTGAAGAACTTTTTTATACCTCTCGACATTAGTTGTTAACGTGCAAGTGTAGATCTGTCTGCTTCATCATTGTTGTCTGTTGGAGAATTTCATCATCTCAATAATTAACGTAATGAAGGTTTGAAAACAAATTTTTAGTGGGTTTAAGTGTGGCTTTAAAATGGATGCTTAGAGTAATTCAAAAACCTCAAAATAATACTCTCACTGATAATATCTTTCTTAACACACAATCGAATATATTAATGAGAAAAAGACCGCAATAAAAAGAAAAATTGTAACTCTTTACGATGAAAAACTCTCATCAAAAAAAATGAATCTCAGTGAAGCTTATATACAACAATATAGAATATTTGTGAAATTTGATCAAAATTTATATATTTTTCTCCTCAATATCGAGCTCGACAATCGCGCTGAATTTAAGCCCGCTTTTTACTAAAGAATTCTATGAGAAGAAATAGCTCCAGCCTCGCCAACGCTATACTCTCTCTATATAAGAATAACTGAACTTTTTTCGTACCCCAGAATACTTACTGTACATTAATTAGCGTACGAAATTTGTGCGAATATATGTAACATTCAGAGAGACTTGAGACAGAGTCATCCTTAATACTGATCACTTCCTGAATCGGTCTAGATTTGTATATCACAAAGT